AGTGGCCCCCTCCGTAATTATTATCCTACTACATGTAAACCACACAATAACCAAAATCTGTAAACCCTGCATTGTAATCCTTACAGAGAAAAAACTTTGATTTGATTTGATTTGATTTGAAGAAAGCTTCTAGTGCCAACCCTTCGAGAAAAAGGGTGCTAATGACTATTGAAATGAAGAAAGAGATAATTGCAAAGTACGAAAGTGGAGTGCGTGTGTCGGAGCTGGCCAGGTTGTATACAAAACCCCAATCAACCATCGCTACTACAGTGGACAGGAAAACGGCAATCAAGGAAGCTGTTGTTGCAAAAGGTGCAACTTTGTTTTCGAAACAGAGACCGCAAGTGTTAGAAGGTGTTGAGAGATTGTTATTGGTGTGGATAAATGAAAAACAGATAGCAGGAGATAGCATCTCTCAAGCGATCATTAGTGAAAAGGCTAGGAAGATGCATGAGGATTTAATTGAAAAAATGCCTGCAACTAGTGGTAATGTGAGTGAATTTAAGGCCAGCAAAGGTTGGTTTGAAAGATTTAAGAATCGTAGTGGCATACATAGTGTGATTAGGCATGGTGAGGCTGCCAGTTCGGACCAAAAAGCAGCTGAAAAATATGTGAAGGAATTCAAGGATTACATAGACAGTGAAGAATTTAAACCTGAGCAAGTGTTTGTGATGAAACAGGCCTGTTTTGGAAGAAATTGCCAAGCAGGACCTACATTACTCAGGAGGAAAAGGCACTCCCAGGACATAAGCCTATGAAAGGCAGGCTTACTCTTCTGATGTGTGCCAATGCTAGTGGTGATTGCAAAGTGAAGCCTTTATTGGTGTATCACTCAGAAACTCCCAGAGCATTCAGGCAAAAGAATGTCCTCAAGGCTAATTTGTGTGTGCTGTGGAGGGCAAACGGTAAGGTATGGGTCACTAGGGACTTTTTCTATGACTGGTTACACCATGCATTTGCCCCCAATGTGAAAAATTACCTAATTGAAAAGAAATTAGACCTTAAGTGCCTCCTGGTATTAGACAATGCCCCTGGTCATCGTACAGACTTGGCAGAGCGACTTTTTGGGGACATGAGCTTCATTAAGGTCAAGTTTTTGCCTCCTAATAGCACTCCTCTCCTGCAGCCCATGGACCAGCAGGTCATTTCCAACTTCAAGAAACTGTACACAAAAGCTGTATTTCAAAAGTGCTTTGAAGTGACCACAGACACTCAATTGACTCTAAAAGAGTTTTGGAAGGATCACTTTAATATCCTCAATTGTGTAAACCTTATAGGTAAGGCTTGGGAGGGAGTGACTAAGAGGACCTTGAACTCTGCTTGGAAGAAACTGTGGCCAGAATGTGTAGACAAAAGGGGTTTTGAAGGGTTTGAGGCTAACCCTGGGAATCGTATGCCAGTTGAGGAAACCATTGTGGCATTGGGGAAGTCCTTGGGGTTGGAGGTTAGTGGGGAGGACGTGGAAGAGTTGGTGGAGGAAAACAATGACGAACTAACCATTGATGAGCTGCTAGATCATCTTCAACAGCAAGAGGCCAGACCTGAGGAAACTGCTTCAGAGGAGGGGATAGAGAAATTGAGGAAGTTGCCTACTTCACAGATTAAAGAAATGTGTACAATGTGGACGAAGGTGAAAACCTTCATGGATGACAATCACCCTCACACAGCTATTGCAAGCCGTGCTGGTGACTATTACAATGACAATGTTGTGAACCACTTTAGAAAAGTCATAAAGGAACGAGAGGTACAGGCCTCTATGGACAGATATGTTGTGCGACAGAAGTCCACTGACTCTCAAGCTGGTCCTAGTGGCATTAAAAGAAGAAGGGAAGTAACCCTGGAAAAGGACTTGCTACCTCAAGTCCTAATGGAAGGGGATTCCCCTTCTAAACAATAAGTTTGACACTCTCCCCTCCTCCCATCCCATCAATCATCACCAGATCTTCATTAAAATTAGTGTCATGTATTCTATTGTTAGTAGAGTACTACAAACTGTGCATGTCTTCTTCAGTTTTTGTGCATTAAACTTAATATTTCATGTGGTAAAATTTTTTTTTCATACTTTTGGGTGTCTTGCACGGATTAATTTGATTTCCATTACATGTATTTCTTATGGGGAAAATTAATTCGCCTTTCGATAATTTTGGCATACGATGAGCTCTCAGGAACGGATTAATATCGTATACCAGGGGACCACTGTACTAGCAAAATAGCTAAGAATTTGGTCAACTGGAACAATGGAATTGGCCTAAAATCGGACTCAAAGCGGACTAAATTGCCAATGCGTAAATATCGCTTTGTGATAAATGTTTTAAAAAACTGGCAAGTTGAAGATTGAGACACTTATGCAACATATGGGAATCTTTATTCAGGAAACTTTTTGCCACACAATGGCTTCATCAGTCCAATACAAAGCAGAAAGGTGTAAGGAGAGGAGGAGTTTGAGGTAATCAGTCCCTCAGCCTGGAGTCGATGTGTTAAGCCCATCAATCTTGTAGAATGTACAGCAAAGGGCTGCAGACATGGCTTATATACTGTAGTCAGGTGAAGCGAAGCAGGAGGAGGCGGGGTCATAGTGGAACCATCCACTAGTCTAAGTAGGTCTTCGTCCAAAGGTTGGACAAGTTTTGAAGAATTCTTTGTATCAAGATCCCTACTTAGACTAGTGGATGGTTCCACTATGACCCCGCCTCCTCCTGCTTTGCCTCACCTGACTACAGTATACAACCCACGTCTACGGCCCTTTGCCGTACATTCTACAAGACTGATGGACTGAACACATCGACTCCAGGCTTAGGGACTGATTACCTCAAACTCCTCCTCTCCTTACACCTTTCTGCTTATATTAGACTAATGAAGCCACTGTGTGGCGAAACGTTTCCTCAATAAAGATTCCCATATGTTGCATAAGTGTCTCAATCTTAAATATCGCTAATGCAGCAAATTTTGTGAAAGTGTAATTTCTTCAGTTTTCCATCAAATTTTTGTACCTTTTGTTTTATTATCTTCAATAAAAGATTCTCTACCATTTCATAAGAATTTTTTTTTTTTTTTAAATTTTGCAACCCTTCAAGCAAGTTTGAGAGTAGGGGTCACAATCCTGAAAGTGTTAAAACTATGTATGGAGCCTGTCTCCACCGCTTTTTCACTAAGATCATTCCATTTCTTGACCACTCTGAGACTGAAGAAATGCTTCCTAACATCCTTGTGGCTCATCTGTGCCTTTAACTGTCAAGTGAGTCCTTAATTTCACATTTCTCATCTCTGAAACACCTTATCACTGTCTCCCTTATCAGTTCCCTCTGAATAATTTGTATGCTGTCATGTCATCCCTGATTATTTTGTCCTTCACTGTAGTTAGGTGCAGTTTTGTTATCCTCTCCTGAAAGTGCATACCCTTCAGCTCAGAAACAAGCCTTGTTTCTGAGCATGCTTTTTCAGGTGGATTCCACACTGGTTCAACATACTCCGAAAATGGGCCAAACGTACGTTGTATAAAGGGTGTGGAATGACTCTTGAGATTCACGAAAGTTATTCTTAAATTTACCAAAGAGGTCAACATGACTCACGAAATCGTAATGCCACGATTGCAAACAAACCATACCACTGATGGGCTAACGCGACGGTCTGGAGTTTTGAGACTCTCTTACCATGGGTTCAAACCCCATCCATGGTATGGTTTGCCAAAGAGTATTGAGTGCAGAGGTTATTCAGCTGATGTGAGCCTATAGTATTATACTGGGCACTATGCTCAACCCTAGGTCTTTTTCTTTGAGTGAAGTCTGCAGCCTCCATCCCCCTAGTCTATATCCCGTTTCTGGTCTTCGTGCTCCTTCCCCAATTCTCATTACCTTGCATTTACTGGGGTTGAATTCAAGCAATCATTCATCTCCACTCTTGCAATTTGTCCAGATCCCTTTGGACACTTTCCTTGTCCTTATATTTTTATTCTCATTAGTTTTACATCATCACCAAACAGGGATATATCTCAATCAGTCAGTCCCATCTGGAATGTCATTCACATAAACCAAAAATAGTACTGGGCCTAATACTGATCCTTGCAGAACCCTGCTAGTTACTCTTCCCCATAATGCCTGATAATCACTCTCTACTTCCTTTCCCTAAGATATATTTTATATGTAGATAATGAGACATGCAAATTAGTGAAGAGCTGCTCATGGTATATATATGTTGTCTATGGACAACATATAGTATACACTAACTGAATATAACATATACAGTATCTTTTATTTAATGAATTAAAATGGGATATATTACAACATTTAGGAGTAAGGGTGACCTACTGACAATAGCAAATATCTGTGCCAAAGTAGTAAAATGTATGCTAAATGTCTGTTGTCAAGAAAATGTCTATAAATAAACCCCCAATTGAATGGACTTCAAAAATACAAGACAGAATTGTCTGTTACAGTTACAATCACAGCAAACATTCATTATATACACCACATTAGCCATTACCAGCCACCCACTTCACCCCTATTAGCCATTACAATTGGGGGTTTACTGTTAGATTCAGTACTATTTTTGCCACAAAAGCAACTAGTTTACTTCATACCTCGTATCAAGAAAGTACAACTGTATATGTACTTAAGTGAACAGTAGTTACCCTAACAATTTTCCCTGTCCATTATCCTTGAAAATCAGTTACTAATTTTCATTCAAATAAAAATACAATGGGTTTTCTGGTTAGTTTGAAGTAAACATGTAAGATTACATCAACATTATGATAAGAAGTGTTGGAGAAGCAAGCCCTAAATTATTATTATAATCAAAAAGAAGCGCTAAGCCACAAAGCAAGCCCTAAAGAAATGGATAATAATTGTGAACTGAGTATTGCTTTTTACGTATAGCAACCAGTTGTAGACCCAATTATCCTTGAATTTTGGATCTACTCCTGAAAACAAGTCGCCTAATCAATTGTCTCCTATACCTCAAATTTCTTTAATTTAGACAGCGTTTTATATGTACAAATCTTACAGGTTGTGTTGTGGGCAGGAGAGCATACACATAACACACGCTACAGTACTGTGGATGGTGCCATGGAAACTGGCAAACATGAAGCCCTCAAAATAATTTCAAAACTTAAGCCCTCTTCTTCATCTGTGCTTGTTGAGCATTGATTGTATTGCAGATCCAAACCCTGACTTCTTGCTTTCAAGTTGGGAGAAAGGCGATTATTTTTAAAACAGCTTCCATGGTTTACATTAAGTATTTATTGTATTTCCAGTTCCATTTTGTTATTAATTTGGTTTTGCTTAAACATTATGAAAAAGATGAATTTAACAACCTTGGGAGTCATTTTCTTTGCAATGCTATATTTTATCCATGCTATAATTAAACTGATAAAATAACTTCTGCACTGTAAAAAAATGTCTAAAGAGCTAAATGTCATGACATTTTAATTAATTTTCATACAGTACATGGTTTTTCTTTTGCAATAATTATAGTATTCCAAAGTTGAACGTAAAGTCCTGGCTGAGGTGCATACCACATTCATAGTTATACCTTCAGCATTACTCAAAAGTAATTTAGTTACAAGTCTGCCTTACCTGTAAAGAAAATTGGTGTATCCAATGTCAAATGAACTGTTTACTGTACAGAAGTATTTAAAAATATTAATACTGCTATATATTGTTGGTAATCATTATTTTTTCAAAATAAAGAAATTATAAATTTTATTATTTAGTTCCTTGTAAAATATTCACCTATAGTTTTATATTATGTATAATAAGTTGTAGTTTGAGGTCTGTAATTTTGAGAAAAATAAAGAACTACAAGAACCTTGCAGTTGTTTAAATAATGGACCAGTGCGGGTGACAGATTTTTAACCCAAAATTAAGAATTTATATTTCTTTCACTATTAAATATAATAAAGCTTTAAAAATAAAACCTTTAAAAATCTATATTTTAGTAATTAAATACAAAATTTTGCATTATACAGTACATAAAGCAAAACAAAAAAAAAATTATAAATTATTTTTCACAATTTATAGCACCTTGTAAAGGTTAAGCTAATCATACACTGGCAAACATACATTTTGAAACTAATTAGTTACATTAAGAACAGCCTATGTAAGCAGCAAGTAGAAATGCTGTATTAATGATCTGTTTAATATTATTAATATGAGCAAACTCCATGGGGAAGTGGAGAAGAATCATTCCTCCATAAGCTATGTCGTAAAAAAGAAAAACTTTAATTTTTTTTTTTTCAGGTCACCCTGCCTTGGTGGTAGACGGCCAGTTTATTAAAAAAATATATGCCAATTATATACAGCCTCTCCTCACTTAACGGCGGAGTTCCGTTCCTAAGACCACGTCAGTAAATGAATTCGTCGCAAAGTGAGGAGCATACTATAATACTAGTGGGTTTGTGTCAACCATCTTTGATATTACTTTAATGTCACCTTTGCATCATTTATAACATTTCTGGTATATTTTTAAATGTTTATACAGTAGTGTACTGTATATTGTAATAAACAGAACAGAGGAAATCAGCTCTAATATACATTAAAGTATGCATGCTGGTTAGAGAGCCTGTCATAAGTCTGTGTCGTCGGTAAACAAGTACGTCGCTAAGTGAGGAGAGGCTGTAGGTGATTTAATATGTAGCTTAAGGGTTATCCTATGTTTGAAGTACATTATCTCAAGAAAAAATGTTGTAGTGAGTAGGCTGGAGGCAGGGAAGATGTGTCTGAGGATAATGTGTGGTGTAAATATTATGCAGAGAATTCATAGTTTGGAGATTAGTTGTGGGGGGGCTACCAAAAGTATAATGCAGGGAGCTGAAATGGTTTGGACATTAGAAGAGGATGAAGTGCAATAAGATGACTAGGAGGATGTATACATCTGAAGTGGAGGGAAAGAGGGGTAGGGGTCAAGGTCATTCTAGGAAAGGTTGGAGAGGGGGTGGAGTTACAGTAGGTTTTGTGTATGGGGCTTGGACATCCAACAGATGTGCATATGAGCATATTAGATAAAAGTAGAGGCAAGCAGTTTTTGACATGATGTGCTCTATGAAGGGATTCAGAGGATACCAGCTAGCTAGATCAGAGTCCTGAAAGTGAGAAGTACAGTACCTTCACTGTGAAGGAGGGGTGGGGATGTTGCAGTTTGGAGAGTCATCCAATCTGTAATGTTTGCAAACCTCTGGCAAGGCAGTGATAGAATGAATGATGGTGAATGTTTCTTTTTTCAGGTCACCCTACCTTGGTGGGAGATGGCCAGTGTTAAAAAAATAGCTTTATATGGTAAAGCTGTTACATTATACTGTTTACAAATTAAATAAAACACACCAGTTTGCTTACCACTTAGAAAATTCACTTTTAGTGTTGCTTCTTGTACTGAACATATACATAAAAAGGCACCATCACTGCTACCATTTTGAAGGGCAGCATGAAATCTGCACCCATGTCATATAGCCAAGAGCTTCAGCTACACATATATTTTTATTCTGCCCCTAGTTATCAGCAACGAACAGCTCGAGATGACAGGTGTTGTAAAACAGTTATTGGCTCGAAGTTACAATAATGATCATCCCTAAAGTATATAAAGTACAGTAGTTATTCAACTAAAGACAGTTACCTGACAACAGCTGACTTTAAGCTTAAGTATCTATTTAGTGATGGTCCAGCCATCAAACTAACAGTGAAGAAAACTGCATTTTTCATGCTACCACATGACAGAATCTAACCATGAGAGAGAAATTTCATTTTGATGAACAATTCATAATTTTTATTAAACAATCAAAACTATGTAGTAAAGAAAATTGTTAAATCCTATATTTCTTTCTTAATGGTTTAGACAAAAAATATCTTTATAAATAATGTATATTACAAATCTATTACACTAATAGTAGTTTCTTTACATATAAATTCATTGAATTTTAAAAGAAAGACTACTCATATCATACCTGATATTTATGCTAAATGATGCTAGAGATGTTAGCTACAAATGTGATAATCTTTTTCCAAAACAGGTAATCACAAACATTTAGAAATTTATTTGTTGACCTCCTTAGTGATTATCATCAAGGAACAAGTTTAGCTGATGTAAAGTAGTGGAGTGAAACAGCAATATGTGAGCTTCACAAAGTTGGAATGCAAGATTGCTGTGATATAGTACTACAAAGAGCCGTCTTCATGGACCAGGTCAGGCATTGCAAATCGCACTTTTTCATAACGTTGCTCAAGAGCAGCCTTAAGCTCTAACCAGTGATCATAGTCCTTTGTTTCTGCCATTACCTTCACCTGAAAAAAGCATATACAATATTTAAATTCTAAGTTAATATACAATATGAATATTCTGAAAGTACAACTGCAGATTTCAATGTTTTTAAGAGCATACACTAATTTTTATAGATTATGAAACTTACTTTAGTAATCATAAGTAATAGATTTGCCAAAACAAGAGGAGATATAAAAAAGACCTGGAAGACACTCCCAGATTCTGGGCACCCACAAACTGAAAAAAAACTAGAGATATTGTCCTAACTAAACCAAATGACACACAACTACAACTTATTGATACAGTCAGTGAGATAAATGACCTTTTCTCAACCACAGAATCAAATCTTGCCAGTAAAATCCCAGGTACCAATGCCCAAGCAAGCGATTACTTAGATGGGAATTTCCCAACTTCCTTCTATCTTGCACCAACCAAGCCCACAGAAGTTACCACTATTATTAAGTCACTTAAAAATAAATCAAGAAATATGGCCACCCTGCTTTGGTGGGAAATGGCCGATGTGTAAAGAATAAGAAAAAATAAAAATGGCTCAAGTCCCACCATTATTGCACAAACGAGCAGCTCATGTTCTTTCACCCAATATGTACATCATTGCTCTTTAACAAATTACTAGAAACCAGCACTTTCCCGACACTACTCACCAATACACAAAAGTGGTGACCCCACAGATGTAAACAATTACAGGCCAATATCAGACTTAACATTGCCATCCAAAATCTTTGAGAAACTCGTGCAAAAGAGATTATACTCCTTTATAACAGTGCAAAGCATCCTCAACCCCTGCCAATTTGGCTTCAGGAAAAGCAAAAATACAAACAACACAATTGTAAAAATGCTAGACCTGCTTTACACAACATGTCTAAAAAATAAATATCCACTAGGACTCTTTATCAACCTAAGGAAAGCTTTTGATACAGTAGACCACAGCATCCTACTCCACAAACTTGATCATTATGGCATAAGAGGCCACACACTTACATATTTCAAATCCTACCTTACTAACAGACATCAATATGTCTCTATTAACCCTTAAACTGTCCAGACATAGATCTACATTTGCTCATGTAGCACTCCGAACGTAGATCAACGTTTTATTTTTCATTCCTTCAAATTTGGTACAATAGGCTTGAGTCGCCTAGACATGAAAGAATGGGTCTGTGCACTTAGTGTGTGCAGTATTAAAAAATCTGGGAGCACTTAGTACCTTGTGGGAGCACCAGTTCAACTGAGCGCCAGCTAGAGCAAATAGCGTGGCAAACACCAGGGATTCACTTATGCCATGTCGCATTAACACTCCCATTTTAAGAGGAAAGTAAAAATAGGTTAGATAAATACATGAGTGATTGTGGGTGGGTGTGAACTGGACTTGACTAGCTTGTGCTACTAGGTCTGATGTCATGCTCCTTCCTTCAGTGGATGTGACCTGACTAGGTGGGTCATTGGTGTAAGCCGGGGGGGGGGGGGCATGGACCTGCCTTGCATGGGCCAGTAGGCCTGCTGCAGTGTTCCTTCTTTCTTATGTTCTTATGTATTCGGCAGGCTGGCTGGCTTGCTTTGGCTGTCTTTGGCTGTCTCTCTGTTGATATCTCTATCTATCTATATCTCTGTCTCACATGTACACACAAGTACAGTTATTATACATAGTGTAAATTACCTAGGATAACCCAAAAATTCCAGGCAAAGATAGATAGACAGACAGATGGACAAACATGTTTGTGTGTATCAGTGAAAACAAATAAAGCCAGAGTTCCCCCCAAGTGCCCATTTATCCAATGTCATTGAGTTGATAACAGCTGTCATAACACCATTCTTCAAGGAGAGTTTCATATATGTATACTCCAGGCAGACAGAAAGACAGAGACAGAAGGCAGGCAGATAGATAGAAACAGATAGATGAATAGACATACAGATAGATAGACAGAGAGACAAGACATGTTTGTGTGAAACAGTAATAACAAATACAGCGAGGGCTAGCTGGAGCAGTGGGCATTTATCAAATTTGAATTTCACTGGGCTGTCAACAGCATAGGGATGCCTTTCATAACAACATGCTTCAAGGTATATGCCAGGGTATCTAAAGCATTGCTGGGACCTATAAATACTTTGTATATATTTCTAGACAATAGTAAATAACCTAAGCAGGTGTAAATGTTCACCTGTCAATGTGATTGTGACTATTTGAGTACTATTTCATTACCTAATATTAATGTCAGAACAAGGATTGGCTTTGAAATTACAAGAACTATTATAAATTGTAATTATCAGAATATAAAAAATATATAAATTAAAATAAAAACAAGAAAAAAAGGTATATCGGCAACACTTCTGCAAGCAGCAGGAGTCGATGTTGCCGTCAGGTGAGCATCCAGAGCCAACTTCACTGTCTTATATCTCGGTAAGTACTGACCCTAAAATTTTTTTTTAATCCTATAACACGTAGAAAAATGTGCTCATCATTTTAAAAGAAAACTTTTTTTTTTTTTTTTCAAAATATTCGCAGCACCACACGAATGAACGTAGATCTACGTTTGGACAGTTTAAGGGTAAAAGACACAACCTCATCAACAAGACCACTGGATACTGGAGTACTACAGAGAAGTGTCCTTGGCCCCCTTCTCTTCCTCTTATACATCAGTGATCTTCCTAATGTATCAAAACATCTGAAACCTATTCTCTTTGCTGACGACACGACTTATGTCATCTCCCACTCTAATCTTGCCTCACTCAGCACTGTTGTTATTAACGAAGAGCTAGTAAAAATATCAACCTGGATGACTACCAATAAACTTCCACTTAATGGTGACAAAAGCTTTGGCATTATGTTTGGGAACAGAACAAGTGATGCCCAACTGAACACTATGATTGACAACACTCTTTTTGCTAAACATAATGAGGGCAAATTTCTGGGTCTGCATAAAAGGGCCTAAAATCTAACTCCCTGCCTGAAAACTCTAGAACTGCAGACTCAACCACCATTTTCAAAACTCATGTTAAAAAACACCTCATCTCATTAACACACCCCATCATCAGCTATGTGAAAACCACCTATGTATTCTCTTTTCTGTATCATGAACACATCCAAAACAAAATAGACTTACTCTCCATATCTGTATTTCTTCCTATTTTACACTTACACTTACCCAAATGACTGTAAACATAAAATTCCTAATATAGTTATTGCCTAATTAATCTTAAGTTAGTCCTAAGTTTGCGTGGAATACTCAGCCTATTATATATAATATAGGAGCTCTTGTAGAAAGTGTATCATGCTGAGATAAAACCATTCCCATTACTAAATTTACTAACTAATATTGTTACAGTGGACCCTTGGTTTTCATGTTTAATCCATTCCAGAGCTATCGGTGAAAACAAACCATTTTCCTAATAAGAAATTATGTAAATCCAATTAATCCATTCCAGACACCCAGAAGTATCAACAAAAAAAAAAAATTTTACCTTAAAGATAGATTTACATGCACAAAAGAATGAATATTACATATGATACTTACCTTTATTGAAGGCTGTTGTTGATGGATGGAAGACAGAGAGGAAGGGAGAGGGAAAAGAGGTTATTGTTTGGAAGGGAGGGAAATCCCCCTCCATAAGGATTCTAGATACCAAGTCCTTATCCGGGATCACTTCCCTAGCTTAAATATAGATTTACATGCAGAAAAGAATGACAAATAAATATAAAGCACTAATAAAATGTATAAATGAACATTTAACATCACACTTACCTTTATTGAAGACTGTTATTTGTGTATGGCAGATGGGGCGGAGGGGAGAGGGAGGCGAGTTTATTGTTGGAGACAGGACATGCTTCAATATGACACTAATATAAACTCTATGGCTTATTTATCTATCACAATTCAACTAATATGACATGATAAACAATATTAATAACATAGAAACATGACATATACTCTAGAATGAATAAAATATGTCATTATGTATGTCACGAGTGGTGTTCTGTTGTTGTTTTTGGGTGTATAAGGGCCACTGAGAGCATAAGCCGTACATAGTGATGGTGAAGGCAGCAGCAGAGGCGGTGGTGTTGTCAGTAGCCCTACATAACTCCCATAACATTGGAGGAGTTAGGTTCGTGCTGTCCTTTTTCTATCGATTAATCACTTAACTTACTTGCTACACTGTTAATGCTACACTTTATCGCTGGCTGGCACTATAGCCTTCATCGACTCATGCTGCTTTAGTATCATACGTATAGTAGAATCACTGAAGAAGGCACATTCTCCCCTCTCTCTTCCTCCTCCACTTTGGTACTTTGCTACGATTTCTTTCTTTAATTCTATCATGTTCCTCACTTTCTTTACCAAAGGACTGGCACTAGGAGCTTTCTTTGGACCCATGGTGGCTTATTTAGTAGTTACACACAATTAACAAATGCCAAAAACAATGGATTGTTACGAAATGTTTCGTATGACCTTGCAGAATATGTTCACTCTGAGAAACAACACGACACTGCCTGAGAATGCGTGTGGAAGACGGCTTTGTCTGCACGCTGGGCACTGGACAGGTTCCGTACCATTGATGAAAATGGAGGAAATCGATGAAAACAGAACCAATATTTTGATGAAAAAAGTCGGCAAAAATGGAAATCAGCAATAACAGAGATCAACAAAAAGGGAGGGTCCACTGTATATGTTTTGTACTACCTCACTACAGTGGAACCTCGGTTTTCGTTTGCCTTGGTTTTCATTGAATTCAGTTTTTGACAACTTTTCTCGTCAAAATTTTGTCCCAGTTTTCATTCATCACCTCAGTTTTCGTTGAGCTGACAGTGGTCCACTGTGCCAAACATGTCTGCCCACGCCCACACAAAGCATCCCACACGTTCTGAGTCAGTCTGGCTTTGTTTCTTGTTGGTAGTGTGGCAGTGATGGTGGTAGAGGGTGGTAAGTGATGGTGGTAGAGGGTGGTAATGATGGTGGTAAAGCATGTTTGTGATGGTGGTAGAGGGTGGTAAGTGATGGTGGTAGAGGGT